AATCGTTATTCTAAACAAACATATTACTGAAAAGTAGCGAGCAGTATGTTTTGTTTAGTTCAGCGAACACCTCCCAACTTACACGCGCCCGCCTTTGCTCCAGTAGGGGTTAGTGATGATAATAAAAAATGTACCTCTGTGACTTCGCCCAACGATATATAAACATATCTTAGCTCAGGGAGTTAGAATTTATATACGGGTTGCTTCAATTTAGCCCTCAAGCAGACCGGCCACAAAGCAGCCAGTTGTTTACAGCAGCCAGTCACAGGAAATTTAGAACTATAATATTAAACACTACATGTGACTTTTTTATACAAATGTACAGTAATATTATTGCCAGATTTTTTAGTATTAATAATAAACGCTTAATATTACAAAAAGTTTTCAAAAAAGTCCATTATTACTGGGTTTTGGGCTGAAAAGTAAAAGTCGATATTTCCAGATTTGTTGACCTCAAACCGCGCTCGATTTGCTTTTCGCACCTTTTTTCGATTTACGCGCCCAACGCCGTCGCTATATAGCCGCCGCATTAAACTACTTAAACAAAATTTTGTGAGTTTTTGTACTCATTTTTACAAAGTCCCTTCCTCTTCCATTCGTTTTTCCCACCCATAAACCCCCAATCCCACCAGTCCCGTAAGACAGAATACTGGGTTTTTAAATACCCAAGGTACACTACAGAAGCTACTTTTGCCCAGGTCTGTATGGACTACCGAATATCGAGGGCATTTAGTTGTTTTCTTTGCTTATAAATTTCTAGTTTTCTCTCGCCCCAACAAGTTGCCACTTTTTTATGGATCAGTGGCCATAATAATAGTAGAAGTAGCGGTAGTAATAGGAGCAGTATACGTATTATTAACAGTACTAGCAGTTGTAACCGCATTAGTGGTAGTAATCCTATGAAATGTAGTAGCAGTAGTAGTACTCGCTGTCGTTATATTCGCAGTAGTCCTGATTATATTAACAGTTTCAGTAGAAATAATAGTCGTATTACTATTCGTATTATTAAAAAGAGCAGCAGTCACGGTAGTATTGGCAGTAATTATTAGTTCATGTAGCAGTGGTGATGGAAAATGTATTATTTGTGGTAGAAGAAGTAGCAGTAACGGTGGTAGTAGCCGTAGTCGTATTAACAGTATTAATTTTCGTAATAATAAGGTGATTTATTTTTGTATTTATAGAAGTAGTGATGGTTCGGTCATCGGAAATGGTGATTTCCGCCTTGTGAAAGCAGTAGTATTCATGTTATCAGTCGTATTGTTGTCTGTACAGCAAAGATTTTCTCGCACCTTTGCCTCTTCTGCCTTCTTAGAATCTTGGCTTCGTGGTTTCACCGGAAGAAATCTGGACTAGACAAGGTAAACAACGCGGATGCTAAATCCGGTACCCAAGTAATGCAAAAACAGTACATGGAGGATTACAGACTGTTTAGAAACGCTGGCTTATTCGAAGAGTACATAGAAATGGGTATGTTTAACGATTTAATTCAAAACTTAACATTCCTTGTTCTCGGCGCCAGCAGTAGTAGCAGTTGAAGTAATTCTAGAACTAAGAACACTCTCCATAGCAAGAGTAGCAGTGATATTAGTCTCGGCTATTTTTATTTGCCGAAGTTTGGTACTGTGCCATTAGTTTGCTGTTCATCCTCGTAACATGTTGACCTATGCCTGCAATACTATCTCCATCACTCTCATACGTATTCTCATTGCCTCCTTTCTTCCTTCCTGTTCAGTGATTCAATTTGGATTCATTACCATTTTCGTTGCCGCCTTTCCGCTGGCTCCGCTGTTTGCCCTCTTCAACAACTGGATGGAAATTCGGATCGACGCACAGAAATTGGTCTGTGCTACGCGACGCCCCTTGGCGCAGCGAGCCAGATCCATCGGCATTTGGTTCTCCCTCACGGAGATCATCGTGGGCATCTCAATCACCACAAATGTACATCACCGTTTGTCAGCCTGTCTCTGTCTCTGGCCTAAGTTAATAGGCAAAACCCTTCCACTGCGACCTTCAGGCCCGGTTCCGTGTAGGAAGGGAATAAATGGGACGCCGGATGGAAAGAACAGTGTATTCTGTACAGCAGTAGTAAAAAAGAGGTTGGAGACAGTTGGCAGCTTGACGAGCGTGCGCCCAAACCCGAGACCTGGGGCTTTTAGAATTAAGAGAGCGCGGCAGTCGTCAAACTTCGTTCCTGTGAGAATCAGCAATGAAGGTGATTGGTCAGACTGAGGTAGGCAGACCCTGGTGAATGCGCTCTTGCTAGCAGCTGCGGGCGACAAACGCTTGCACGGCGTGGCGGCACTAAAGGATGCCCTGGTTGATTTTTTTGCTGGGGTTGGTGGGGATGGAGGCTTGGTGAAGGGTAGGTTGTTGTCAGGTGATGCATTATGGTGTTTAGTCCATCAAAGTGAGAACTGGAATCCGAGCTGTTGTCCCTTTTTCTCATTGGGTAAAATACTAATGTCGCCTGTGACCAGGTTGTAGTTGCACATAGGTCCAAGCCGTAAGAGCTGGGATCCATGTCGCTGCCCTTATATCCATGTTGTTGCATTAAAATCTTGAGCAAGTGTTTGTTCTAGATCAGAGAATGTAGTGGTGCGCAATGCTGTGGCTAGCCATCTGCGTCCTTGCCCACCGCCGGTCTTACGGATTTTGTCATGACGGTGGGTCTGTGGCAGACTGAATTCGGTAGTAATGCGCTGATTCATCTCGTTCTCACTTTCCAAGCTTTTGTCTGTTCGCGCGGCCAGCACTGACTCATCCTCTTATCTTTGCGCGTTCTTGTACGTTTGCACCCCTCGCTGTCGAGGCGCGTACGCCCAAAGCTAATCGATGTCTCGCGAGCTCTGATGCCGACACCTGCACCCTCTCCTGATTAGCTAAGGATACACTCCGCTCTCAGGGCTTCGCAGGAGTGGACACTTTTTCACCTACACGACTGCTTTTTGTACGCCGCGCTTGCAGCAGTTATTGTAGGGCCACTTTTGTTCAGTAAAGCTGTTCCCCTCAACTCTGTCTTTCCGCAGCGATCTTCAGGCCCAGTTCCTTGTGGGAAGTGAAGAAATGGGATGCCGAGGAGAAGGAACAGTGTATTCTATACAGAGGTAGTAAGAAAGTGGTTGGAGGAAGTTGGCAGCTGAACGAGCGTGCGCCCGCACCCTAGACGGGGGACATCCGAAGTGGGAGAGCGCGGCAGTCATCACTATGAGTTCCTGTATGAATCAGCAATGAAGGTGATTGTTCAGACTGAGATATGCAGACACTTGTGCATGCGCAGATGCTAGCAGCTGCGAGGGGCAAACGCTCGCACGGAGTGAAGGCAATAAAAGTACGCCCTGGTTGTTTCTGTTGCTGAAGGTGGTGGTGATTGAGGCTTGGTGAAGGGCAGGTTGTTGCCAGGTGATTTATGATAGTTTTTGGTCCCACAACGCGAGAGCTGGCATCCGAGCTGCTGCCCTTTTTTCTTACTGTGTAAAATACTGATAAGGTTTAGCCTTTGACCAGGTGATGCTTTATGGGATGTAGTGGCATGCCGTCAGAGCTGGGATCCGCGTCGCTGTCCTCATCCCAATGCACCTGCGTCCTCCGCCACCTCCGGCCTTCCTGATGCTCTCATAACACAGGGTCTTGTGAAGTAGGGGCGAAGTAATGGGGGGGGGGTGGTGCGATAGATACGGCGCAAACCTACTACCACTATGGTCTTATCCGCTCACAAGTCACCGTGCTCACTTCCGGCCTGCCCTGAAGCACGCGGTGAAGGTCATCCAAATCGGTGGTCGGACTGTCGGTAGTGGTGGTAGGCAGGGAATATGATAATAATAATAATGATCATTATAACGACTATTAGGAGGGGTGGCAGATTTGAATAATTCGATTGACGCAGTTGTGAAAAATGATTGGCCTCTGCGGGATTCAAACCCATGCCAGCCAGACAAAGGCCAACGCTCTAGCAAACTGAGCTACAAGGCTCGCCAGGAGCCGTGAATTTAATCACGGTGACTATGCTGGTGGGAATACTAGCGATAGTAAAT